TGTAAATGATTGGTCATCCCCTATTTAGTTTGGTTGGAAAAATCAAATGGAGACTTCTTTCTAAAACCTGTTTCATGCAATGCAGGCAAATTGTGTCCTCATTTTCTGTTGCCTGTGTCTTCATCTGTAATCAGCCAGTGGAGTCCTGCAGCCTACATCTGCAATTTGTTGCTCTCTCCTAGTTTGCACAACACTGAACCATCTCATTTTGAAATTCAAGAGTGGCAGAGGAAGTCTTTAGTAGAGGATAGTAATTTGGGAGAAGGGAAAATCAAGAGCAAGATCACCTGTTTTGAAGAGGGCTGATGTTGAAGGAAATTGCTTTGTTTAGTCAGACTCTGAGCCTCTCAGTGGATGTGCTGCTGTGACCTGCCCCTCCATCACCAGTGACCTAAAAATCAAATAATTCCAACCATTCATGAAACTTATTCCCATCTGTGGTGCATGGCTTGTACACTTACCCCCTCTATTGTCAGCAAAAGTGTCTAAATCTTTTCACCTAGCAGGCAGTGGACTGGTTTTCTTGCTTTTTTTTCTGGCTGCTTCTGTGATTATCAAATTAATACCTTCAAGCACTTTTCCAGATCTGTTTCTTACCTGTGTGCCCTCTTACTCTCTCTAGTCCAATACTGTTTAGCCCAGGCAGATTTTTCTCTCTGCGTTCTTAAGGGCTCTGGCTAGGCCTAGGAATTAAATTGACCCTAAATAGATTAGTAAGAAAAAAATGTACATATTTTTGCAGGTATGTTGATCCCACCTTGAAGGAAAATAACCTCAAAATGACACAATGTAAATTCTTATTAAGAAGATTGAATTGGAATGGCCTTATGTAGAAAAGTAGTGAAAATGTGTGGAGAGGCCAGAAGAAGGGAAGAATTATTTCAGGGAGATGGGTCAGTGCCCCATGGCTTCTAATAGGAAGATGTCCTCTCTCCTTCCTTGGGGTTTCTCTCTTTTGTGGATCCTGGTGGAGATGCTGCCTTTCTCCTGGTGCAGCAAAGGCAGAGTATTCCTTTTGTGTCTATTCTTTTTTAAGTGACCTTAACTTAAAATAATCCTTAGAACAAGGGGCATTTTTTCTGGTGGCATATTCTGTCACTCTTCATTTGCAAAATGCTTTCCTTGAATAATATGAGGTGTAGTTGTCTTATTATCAGAAAGTACTACAGGTGGGGTTTCCCTTAGGAACCACTAGCCTATATCATTATAAACTAATGGATCAATAGGCTTTGAAATTGCTATTCATTGATCCCAAAAAGCTATTTTATGAAATGTACACATTTCCTCCCTGTATTGTAGCCGTTCTGTCCAAGTTTCTTTAGGGAAATTCTTAAATACCACTACTTACTTGATGGTAAGTTGGTGTGTGTGTGTGTATGTGTGCGTGTGCATGTACACACTTATAAAATCATTGTATAACTGTTCTGAACATTGATAAGGTTGTTAATTTAGTTTAGTAAATCTTTGTGTGTTTGATTTTTTTCCCACTCAAGAGTTGGTGATTAAACCCAGTAGTGCTGTTCCACTGAGCTACACCCCCCAGCCCTTTTCACTTTTTATTTAGAGACAGGGTCTTAGTAAGCTACTGAAGCTGGCCACAACCTTGTGATCCTCCTGCCTTAAGTCGCTCAAGTTGCTCCTATCATAGGTGTGTGCCATGGTGCCTGGTTTATCTTTTGAGTTTTATTGCTTATATGGGACATTCTTTGGTCATTTTTTCCCACTGACACAGTCAAAGGAAACAAATGATTATTTTACTATATACTTCAGAAGCAGTCAATAACTGTTTAGAGACTAGGAGTGAACAAATGATGGGATGGCCTGGTTTATGCAGGAATTGTTCCAAAGTACTAATATTGTCTATACAGTAACTTATAAATGGATATGTATCTTAAAAATTAAGATAATCTCTACTCTTTGAAAATACAAGCCTCTTAACTATTAAAAATCCTTTCATGACTATTCATTTTTTTGTATCTCTCAAGTCACCACCTCTATATAAACACTAATCTCCCCCTCTCCAGAGTGGGAAAAATCTCAATACTAATTGAAACTAAGATGATTTTACTGCTGTTGCTGAGACGTTGACAGGTCTCTTACAAGCTAATGTCATGGCATGGGATCCATTTGCTCTGTGTAGCTATTCTGCAGGGCAGTAAGCATGCCGCGATTAATATGCTATGTGAAAAAAATGAATTTGTAAAAAATTATAACATAATCTCATAAATATTAATTCACATTTGTATGAATTGCTCATAATTTTCAATATAGTTTTAAGGCAACTTCAGTATGATAAAAGATTTGATCTACAATGAGATGGACATAATGTTTTAAAAAGCACAGTTGATACCTTATTAAATATTGTGTGTGTGTGTGTGTGTGTGTGTGTGTGTTTCGGTTTCCGGGGATTGAACTCAGGGGCACTTGACCACTGACCCACATCCCTAGCCCTGTTTTGTATTTTATTTAGAGACAGGATCTCACTGAGTTTCTGAGGAACTCACTAAGTTGCTGAGGCTGGCTTTGAACTCTATCCTCCTGCCTCAGCCTCCCAAGCTGAGGGGATTACAGGTGTGCATGACCACGCTAGCTTATTATTTGTTTATTAATCTGTTATGCTACAAGAAAAAGATTCAGGGCAGTAGGTGGGTTGATGACAATGAAAAGAGGGTTTCCCCCCCCCCCCTTTTTTTTTAACCCTATAGGTAGTTTTTGTATTTCCTTTAGAAGTAGTCCAATTTAATTGTATTATAAATGAGCAACTCACAATGTAACTCGCCTGCCTCCTTCTGTTGTTGATATTCCTCAGTATCTTTTCATGAGAGGTAACTCTTTTGTTTAAATGTGAGATTAAACACAGAAAATACTTTGAGCTAAGCAGGTGTTTAACATAACTTATTGAGGTAGTAGATGCTGGACAAAGGAATTCTATTTAGCAGACATTAATTGAATATTTTTATGTGTTAGGTATAGTGTGCAAGATCTGAGACTATGCAGTCAGTGACCATTGCACTTGCTTTGATTGCAGCTTGTCCTCTGAAACATTGCTCACTACATCCACATTGCCTCAGGACAGCTACCTCTCAAATAGCATAGGACAGATCATCTAACAGCTAGAGGTTAGACCCAAAGCCACTCACTTGCCTTATTGGACTGTTTTAATTTTATTTCTTACCCCCCCCCATGTAGGCCTTTCCTCCTTTCTGGGGTTTCTTGATATTTGCATATTGCATTATATTTTTATCACATGTCCATCTCAACATCCTTACTTTCCACCTTCTTTGCAAAATGTAAATGACAATATACAGTGCCTACTGGCACTATCAAGCTTTCAAAGCTTGCTTTGGTGTATTATAAGCAGTTTAGTATTTTTTAAAATCACTATTATACTTTATTTTTATTGTGCTTAATCACTGCTGTGCTTTATAGGTTTGAATGTTTTAACTAGTCTTGTTTACTTATGCATTAAATAAGTATATATTGACCACCAATTATTTTACCTGGTTTATGTAAAACACTTATTTGATGAAACGCTGGGATTGCAGAGGTCCGCTGCTTACTTCCTGCCACTTTTGACCTTTTTTTCAGACAGATTATGCTATCAGCTGCTTCAAGGCTTTTGCCCAAGTTGTCTGTGCTCAGCCTTTCAGACTATGTCATCTTGTTGACCCTAACCCTCTGCCCTGGTCTAGATCATTTCCCCCAGTTTTAATACCTTTTGCCTTTCCTTTTGAGTTATCATTACAGTTTGCAGTGATATATTTAGTATGTGGGTATTAAATTTCGAAGGGAGGAAAGAGTGAAATTTTGAGATGGAAAAATAGGTAGAAATATATATTTTTTTTAACTTTACTTTTAGTAGTACTGGTGACTGAACACACGCATGCTAGGAAAGTGCTGAACCACTGAGTTATCCCCCTCTACAAACCTTTTTAAAATTTTTATTTTGAGACAAGGGTCTCCTTAAGTTGCTGGCACTGGCCTTGAACTTGGAAACCTCCTTCCTCAGCCTCTTGAGTAGCTGGATTATAGGTGTGTGCACCCACTCTCAGCTTTATTTTGGTTTTATTTTATTTTTCAGTGTGCCATTAGGACCACAGAAACTGAGAAAATGTGGGAAGGAGACTCCATGAAAGAACATTGTCAGTTTAAGAATTGTATCTCATTTCTCAGGGTTCATATGGCATATATCAGGTGATCTGAGGTTCCGTAAGTTTTGCACATGAGCTCAGAATTTCAGTGACTGACTTCAAGGCTTGAAATGAATGGTGCTAGCATCTAGACTGAGCCCAGGCCTTCTGGTATTCTCAGTATGTTGTGAGCTGCCTGTAGGGACTTCTGTTTATTAGTTCATGTGGGCTTCAGATTCTGCACTGGGCAACTCCTGTTAGAGGACATTGATTACCCATAAGGATAAATGCAAAGTTGTTGCTGTTGATCTTTGTGATGATTATATTGTCATTTACATTTTGCAAAGAAGGTGGAAAGTAAGGATGTTGAGATGAACATGTGATAAAAATATAATGCATTATGGAAACATTCTAATTATATGAATTGATAGTTTTCTTCTTGTTGGCTCTGATATGTTCAGTCTTGTGCCTTTTCTTTTGAACTGGGCATGTACTTAGTATTCTTCTTTGAAATATACAGTCATTGAAAAGTCACTTGAAAAGTAAGAATATTGAGCTTCTTCTGGAAATGTCATTGTGTGCTGATCCAGCACAGAATGAAACAAAGGCACCAGTGAAATCACTTTCAATGGACAGTACTTTGTGCTTTATTAAGTTTTCTGTCCAAGAAGATTAGAAAGGGTATATTTGTGATAGCATCAGGGACTCAGAAAAGAGAGCCATGTTTCTCAGTTTTAGGTTATTACATCCTATTTTTCTGTCCCCATCACCTTTTCTAGTAATTTTATTGAACCTTTGTTTTGGATATGGCCCTAGATACCTGCATAACCATCGCTTCCCTTTCCTTCCTTTCCCCCCCCCCCCCTACAGAAAGATGTAGCACTTAAGCCTCAGGAACGTGTGGAGAAACGCCAGACTCCCTTGACCAAGAAGAAACGAGAAGCACTTACCAATGGTTTATCTTTTCATTCAAAGAAGAGCAGACTCAGCCACCCACACCACTACAGCTCAGACCGAGAAAATGACCGTAATCTCTGCCAGCACCTTGGGAAGAGAAAGAAAATGCCGAAGGGACTCAGACAGGTGAGAAAACTTGGATTTATTTTATTCTGTGAACTTCTATAGATGTTTGCTTCTCTGTGGTTCTTCGCACAGGTGGAGAAGTTATCCTTGGTGGCATCCTATAACTGCTTGCAGAGCTGTATGCTTGCTTCTAAAGGATTATAATCGCAGTCTCGTTTTTTTTTTTTCCAGTTAGAATTGGTAACTTTGGCTTGGTACCCTTTCCATTGAATACTCTCTACGCAGCAAAGCTTGATGTGTTTAGGGCAGACTGGTGTTTAAGGCAGACTGAAGTCTTGACAGTTGTCAAGGTGGACTGGTGTGTAGGGAAAAGAACCTTGAAATTAGGACAAAAGGGATAGGGAAATTTAGTGACATACATTGTGTATTTCATGGTTCCAGGGTACTAAAATTGGATCTTTGAGTAGTGCTTTGCATAAGATTGACATTTTCTAGGGAAGCTCAAGTATTGTGGCATGTGGGAGAGCAGTGACAAAGAAAGGGACTGCCTTTTAGTGCCCTAATTGTTTTCCATAGTCCATAATTGAAGACAGTCTTTGTGATCTGCCAATTGAATACAAGTTGGTAGTGGGGCTCCCTGGCCTGTTAATTAGGTTTCAATGATCCACAGGCAAATATTGCCCTTGGAATTTGGGGAGAATTTTTGTCTGTGAAATCTGTACGTTTGATGACTGATAAAGAGAGATGAAGTTGTTTGTAACAATTTTTTTTTTCCCTGCAGAAATCCAGAGGCTCTAGTGACTGTAGAGTTACCTGTGTCCTGGGTATGTTTTGTTTTTGGTGAGACCATTGGGTGGGATTGACTATTACTTGAAGGAAGCAGGGGAAGGAATTGTGGTTCACAGAGCAGGTGCTGTTAATTAGAAGCTGAACAGGTAATTTCTAGTTGCAGGTGTTTCTTTGCAGAGGGGAAAGATCTGCAATCATGTAAAACAGTGGTTTCAAAACCCACAGACCATTATAATCACATCGTTAGCCCCACTAAACATAAATTTTTGCCCTCTCCCTAGGATCTAATGAAGTTTTTCTTAAAAGATATTTTAGTTGTAAATGGACACAATATCTGTTTTACGTATGTTTGTATGTATGTATGTGGTGCTGAGGATCAAACCCAGTACCTCACACATGCAAGGCAAGCGCTCAACCACTGAGCTACAACCCCAGCCCATAATGTAGATTTTAGCTTAAGAAATTTCTGTTTGATAATGATCATACTGGTTTGGAAGTTATGTTACAAAGTATCTAGAGTGTATTTTGCATGATGAATTTTAGCTTAAAGATCAGAAGGTTCAGAAGCCTCAAGAAAAGGTAATGAGAAGTTTGGTGTCAGAGTTCAGCCTGTGGATAATAAAGGAGAGTATACTAAGAACCATCTGGAATGATGGGTTCAGCATGGACTCCAAAAGCTTCTTGCATGTAATGCCCTTCAGTATGACACTCAGGATGACACTCAGGATGGTGTTTCTGAGGGCTAACATATAATCCTAAAATCCCACAATTGAAGTTATAATACGTACAGTTCTATAATAATTATGCTGTAGGCATTCAGTGAGGTAGTTTGCATAATATAACCTGTAATTCATACATCAACCCTGCCTAGTAGGAAATTATGGTTACCCTGCTGATGTGGAAACTCATACTTGATCAAATGGCTTGTCTGAGGCCATCTGGCAGTGAGGTTCAGCACAATGATTTAGATCCAAATCTTTTCAGCCAAGAGCCTCCACTTTCCCCTGTACCTTCTCTTTGGGTATGCAGAAAAAGCACAGCAGGTCAGAGGATGGGAGGGGTTTACAAATATTTCTAGAAACTAAATGATAGTATGGTCAAACAGACTTTGACTTTGGCCATCAAAATGGTCTTTGAAGGTAAAAGAAAAATCAGAATAAGCTATGAAATTTAGAGGGTAGATCAAGAGCTGGAGAGTTTGAAAGTAACCAAATTTGGATTAAGATTTTTTAATAAGGAGGAAGGGAGAGGGGTGCGAAAGTCAAAATAGAGCTTGCACAGGTTGTCTCCTTAAGGAGCTTTATTCTCTCATTTGGAGACTAAATTCATTATCACAATGAAACGGCTGAGTAACACAAGAGTGATGTGTTGTCACATCTACTGGCCAAATCATGACTTCTGTGAAGAATTTTGGGAAAACATAATCCTTCCCAGAACACTGAGTAAAGTCAAAAAAATTTTCAATATATCTGACATGGAGACCACAAGGAATGCTTTAAAAATTTAGTATTTTATATTTTAAAATACAGAGAATGCAAAAGGGTTTTAAAAATAGAGCAGCAATGATAAAAAGTTGATGAGAGTTCACATAATTTTCAGGTTTGGCTCCAACTAGATATCCTAAATCTCAGTTTAATTCATTAGATTTTCCTTTCTCTCTGGTTTGAACTGAACCAGAGGAAATAGACCGAAGTGACCTACAAGTCATTTTTACGATATATTAACTTTTTAAACAGACATCAGGATGTATCATCAAAATAAATCGAGCCTTTCTCCTTAACTGAGATTTAGGTGCCCCAAAGTCATTAAGAGCAGAATTTTGTAGAAAAGAGATAACCTATTGAGATGCCTTCTAGTTGTAGGCAAACACTATTCATGGGAAAAATTAAGGAATTTGGGAATACGTTACCAGTTTAGCAGGTAGACGCTGATCTTGCTGATAAAGATGGTTTATGCTTTATATGATTTAAAAAGCTTTATATAAGTTACTGTGTATAGACAATACTTATAAGAAATGGAAATTTGCTTCTCTTTGAAAATCCAGTATGGCCGAGTCAAATTTGGTGGAACATTTATAGTTGACCAAAAATGTCTGCTGATTTTTAGGAAGAAAATTCATGGATTCCAGTGCAGTCTTTAAAATTAAAGCTGTTACTCATTCATTTCGGTTAATTAATAATAAAGTTAGAGCTGTCCTTGGTGGGTTCATTTTCTTTCTGTACTAGCATTGCACATTGGATGTATTTGGCATAAATGGTGGTGTTGGTGTATGAGGGCCCAGGTAACTATGCCACCATCTATCTTTCTACCCATCCTGATGAAGCAGTATTTCCCAGTCTATGTTCTTTCCTATTTCAGTTGTTTGGTACCAGTGATTGGTTCTGTAATTTTTTTTATCTTTATTTTGCTTATTCATTTTTATGTGGTGGTGAGGATCGAACCCAGTGCCTCACATGTGCAAAGCAAGCGCTCTGCCACTTAGCCACAACCCCAGCCCCTGGTTCTGTATTTTAGAGAGACTTATTCATGATGTCTTGGGAACTCTCTGTGACATTTGTTATTAGAGAAAGTTATCTTGCAAAGGAGGATTTGTAATGGAAAACTTTGATTAAACAGATCCAGTTCAAGTCACATTTTTGAAAACCTGCTATAATTAGTTTTGGGTGAAAATAAAGGCCCAAAATCACCCAGGTATTTATCCAGCTTGACTCTAGAGCCTACAGGCTTCTGGAAGTCAGAGCACTTGAAAAATGAATGTAATTTGTGATTATGCTTTCATAATGAAAAGATATGAACTTTGCTGTGTTCTTTCATAATGGTTAAATGCCTGAAGGTACCTTGAGCTAGTATCAAGAGATGTGAGCCACAGTTAAACCATTTTTACCTCATACTTCAGAATTTCAAGTTTAATATGTTAATTGTTTCAAGTTTAATAAGTTTAATTGCTTTTCAAAAATCATGCTGTCATGCGAAGGTTACTAACTATGATATCCAATAAAATTGTTTTTCCTCTATGAATTTAAGTTACAGATTACTTTTTTCTCATTGTTCAATTATAAGAATAAAAATATGTAAGGAAAGATTGAGAGAATAAAAAAGCGGTTTACAGTATCTCTGGGAATTTTGATTGACTTGAATATGATGCTGACTTTCAGCATTTAGTTATTGAGGATTTTTAATCCAGGCTTGTGTATGTTCAGGAGTTAGTTGTGTGTTATACTGGAGGGGTGGCTTCTTTTTTTTTTTTTTTTGAGATGGGGGTCTCACTATGATGCCTGGTCTGATCTTAAACTCTTTTTCTTAAGTGATCTTCCCACCTCACTCAGCCTCCTCAATGCTGGAACTACCAGTGTGCTCCACCCCACCCGGTAATGGCTTTTTTTTTTTTTTTTTTTTTCATTTTAATTTGGGTTACTTGGAAGCAGTGACCACTGTTTTGTATTCTGGAATTTTTGGCTTTGTCATTATCTAGGATATATTATGTGAATTCTAAATGTTAAAGCAAGTGTAAATATAACATGACTTCATTGAGACAGATCTTCAGAGTGGTGTGGCCAATAATAATTATATCTCAAGTGCATTTTGTAATTTTTAATTAAAATTTTTGGAAAGTGGCTCTATTAAGGGTAGATAGCTGTGTGGCTAGGTCTAAGGTGGGCTTCTGGCCCCATTGGGCTGCTGGAGTGGAACACAGTACCATCTCCCTCCCAGGAAGGCTCTAGTAAGGAGCTGGAGGCAAAGCATGTGGAGGTGGAGGCCAAGACTCCAGTCTTAACTGCTGTGTGTCTAATTGAGAGTCCTGGTGGAGTTGGCAGGGAAGCCACTGCTTCAGAGACACCTGGCTAGTGAACTGTGCCTTGGGAAAGAGCTCCAACATGCCTTTGTGCAAGGAGACCCTGACCCCAAAGCAGTGGGCCTGTGAGTGGCAGGAATAAGAGGTCCAGACCTACACATTCATTCAGTTATAAAACCCTCCAAAATAATTATGAACAGTGTCTAAAAAGGGGGTATGTCATATTTCTGCCACCTCCTCAAATAGAAACTACAGAAAAAAAAAAGTTTGAGAGAAGGAACTGCAATTATAAGAGTGGGTGCTAATTCTTATAATTGTGAGTTATGAAACAATTACTATAGGTAATTGTTTCGTAAAACAGTGAATTTTTGAGTTTCCCAAAGTAAGAATTTGAGGGGTATGTTCAAAACTTTATTAAGGGTAATTCAGATTATGTATAGTGCTTGAGAAATAGGATAAAGAAAGCCACAGAAATGAT